TCGCGCGCTGGGGTCTTTAAGAGCGGAAGAACCTGCTTTGCCCGAACCCCCATCCCGCGTGGGGGGCGTCCGTAGGGCCCGGCGTGGTGGGATGGTGTGCCGGCCCCCTCCCGCGGCGAATCGCCCGTTTCCAGGTAAAACGGCAACGCCCGAGCCCCCCGGTAAGGATTCCAATACTTTTCCGGCCCCGGAGTTCACTGCTTCCAGGGCCGATAATCGTTTTTGGCTTAAACGGCGCCTTTTTCACCTGCACATAGCATGTTGTGGTGTAGTGCCCTTTGCGTCCGCATCGAAAACAACGCGCATAGCTAGGAGAAGGGGTGGGATGTTTTTTCGCTTTTGGACCGCCTGAAAAATCGGGTCGTCCTCCTTTCTGGGATCGCCGATGGCATTGGCAAGGGCTTGGATATTAACGCCGGGGTTTTCCTTCGTCGCCTGAGCCACCCGAAGCTGATAATACAGCCGTCTGCCAAATTGCGCCTCTTCAGCCGAAATGCCCTCGCGACGGATAGCATAAATCCATGCCACGAAGTTTTCCCACGCCTGGCAAAGGCCAAATCCAGGCTTCATGGGTAAGGGAAAAAGACCCCGATAAGCCGCCAGCAGCTGTTCTGGGGAGACCTCCAATAAATACTCCAAGGCGCCCCGAAGGTCCGGATATTTTCTTCTGGTCGGAAACCCTTTTCCACGAACTTATTCCTTAGCTCTTGAATTTCTCGCACCCCCACCTGGGGTTGAGCCCCCAACGCCGTAAAAGGCCGTTCTGCATGCCCGCCCATCTTGGCGGTATGTGCCGCCGTGTGGGCATCTTGTGGAAAATATTCGTTTTCACCCTCTCTTGTCGCCCGCTGCGCTGGAAGTCCCTGTTTCTCTTTTTGGTTAAACTACGCCTGCATCTGATTAATCCGATCTTGCATCTGATTGTTCTCCTCAAACAACTGGGCTTTCTGCGATTCCAACGTGTTAATCTGTTGCTGCATTTGATTAAAGCGTTCGTGTGATCCTACCGTTTGAGCGTAAGCGTCCTGCTGGATCTTTAAATTTTCTTCCGCCAGTTGTGCCCTGGCCATTTCATATTGCTGATACAGTATTGACTTGCTTTCCCCCAGCGTCATCCACTAAGTTCGAAAGGTCGCCCGTGCATCGTCAAAAGCCTTAAGAAAGTTCTCATTCTTTGGCATGTTCAACGACACCATAGAGTGCCGCAAAGAAACGAAGTTGGTCTTTGTTCCATTCCCAAGACAAATGGTAAGATCACTGTTTTCAATTGTTAAGGTGCCCTCGACGCGACCAACATGTGTACTGAAATTTGCTCTGTACTCAAAAGAAAAGGGGGTCCGTCCACAATGTTCGACGAACGCCCTGAGAGCTGATAAGCCCGTCATCCATACCACGTCCATGAGGGCCTGCTGGGAAGTGGTGGATAACATTGCTTGGTTGTGACTTACCTTTCGTTTCAAGAACTTACCCTTTGCGACTTTCCCACAGCAAGAGATACACACAAAAATGATGAATTATAGGATCTCTCATTAACAAGTTGGGTAAAGCTTGGCCATTCCTTTTGCAGGCTTCCAAAAAAAGCGCCTACAACCCACCATATGAAATTGAAAATCACTTTAAAAAAATAAATTTCATCTTTTAAAACCTGAGAAAATAAGATTGAATTATTTCAGCGCCTTCCCACGAGCTGCACTCCGGGGTTTGGGCTTAAGAGGAAAACCACATCACAAAAAGTATATGGACGCATTAAACGCGAGAACAGCGGGATTTCATAATGAAAAGACTCTGTGAATTTGCGACAAAGAACAACTTGGATGTTCCAGAAGAAAATGTTTCTCTATAGTATGTCTCCAAACGGACAAAAAGAAGTGGAGTGGAGTACACAAAAACTCTGTTAACTTTATTAGATTCAGGGCAAGGATCTGATCAGATGCTTTAGGCGGGCCCTTAACAACAGTGGCTGAAAGTCCATTAAAATGGCCTAACCATCTTGAGAGGCAAGCGCTGTATTCCATCAGTGGTTTTGTGAGTTGCGAAACGGCGAGGCCACCCTGCGCCTAGCGCGGGTAACAGCCAAGCGGTGGGGCAAAATTTCCCTACTCCAAAAGGAAAAATACACAACACATCCTTAAGGCAAGGACACTCTCATTGGAGATTTTGGGGCTTTCTCAAAAACCTTTCAAAATTTATTCTCGCAGAGTGTCAGGGTAGGTGCCAATTTGTGGGGAGACACAAAGGTGCTGCGAGGCGCCATCAAGGGCACGAAAGGTACGGAATAACTAACAACATCAAAAAAAACACGAGGCATGAAAAATACTTTTCGGCCCTGGGGCATAAATGCGCATTCGATAGAAAGAGGAGCAGAAGCCCATTCATTAAAGCAGCGATCGAATACAATATTGGCACACGATTGCTAACCCGGTAGGAAAAGCACGTAGCTTCGCACGTTACGTAGGGCATTTGGTTGTACTGGCAAAGAAGTCAGCTCAGTTGATAAGTCCCTTGCAGATGATATCGGAACGCATACTTCGCTTTCTTATGTCGTTCTGAATGCTGAGAAAGACCTAGCAAACCTTCTTTTTCAGAGCGTAGCATTCTGCGGCGCACCCGTTAAACAAGAGCTGCTAGTCAAGAGGAAGAAAAAGAATTGCCTTTACATCAGATGAATATCGACACATTACCACTGGGCTGGGCCAGAAGCGGACTCAAATCAAAGACACTGGAACAGTATAATAAGGTATGGGGAACCATGCGCAAGCCCGCAACATCCAAGACACAAGAACGGGAATCACCCTTGATGATGCCTTATGGGGGTAAAAGATAATGAAAGAGGCTGGCATTATCCACGAAGCGCCTGCAGAACCCATTACACGTTTGGTAGGGCCTTTTGCTGTTGTCGAAGAAAAACCATCAGGGCCAAAGCGGTGTTTCTCCCCTGACAAAGGGTCAAAAATGAACAGGGGGACTATGAAGGTATGGCCCCTCTTGGACATATTTCGCATAAAGTGTATGCGCTTTATAACAAAGAAGACGGCATTTTTGAACTTAATACCTTCTTTTTAGAGGTAGATGGGCAACGAGATGCGAACTACCTTCTGGCTTCGCATCGAACAAAAAGATCTTGTAGAGTTCACTCGGTTCCCAATGGACTATAAATGCAGTCCGGAAATTTCAGATAATAACGAGTGTTTTGACCGGCGGGCCCGCCGCCGTAAACCATAGACATGCAGCGCCGCGGCGGCCAACAATACACGTTTGGATCCGTAATCTTCGAACTGGTGAGCCCCCCGAAAGCGTGAAGACATGGGGGAACATCACTGCCCGTACTTGGTGATTCCGGCCACCCCATCGTGGAAACAGGGTCCGGCACCTCGTATTGTCGGGGGGGGGCCAGGCGCCAGCAAAATTTGCCACTTGGAGAACTTTGCGGCGCCCGGCTTACGGCATCACACAGTACCAGGGCCCGCCGCGTCTTGCTGGGACACAGTATTATATTCGTCGGTCATGGGGCGCGTGTTACCGCGCCATCCGCAGTATCATCCGCACCAAGTTACTGCTTAGTGGAAATGTGGAAGGGAATCCCGGCCCTGCATTGAGGGGCATGCAATGGAACTCAGCT